GATTCCTTCATATTATTATTGTAATGGTTTGAATACTTCTTCTGCTAATTTACCACTGTATAATTAAAATTGATTGCAAGCCTTAAGATTTATAGCTGTTACACTTTATGGAAATTAATTTAAATAGGAAGATAGTATTTCAATAGAAACATCAAAATACTCTAATTTATAATAACATAATGCTATATAAACATTGATTGCTGAATATTCTCGATTTTCAAGCAATAATTTTTTGTAAGCATCAGTTGCCTATAAAATAAAAAAATATCAGTTACTTCTTCATAATGTCCTCTTAAATAATGAATTGCTGCCAAACATAACTAATCATGAACTGTTTCTTATATCTTATGATGATAGGTCATTAGATTCTTTTCATCATTTTTCTTGTGAGCAATATGAAATTATCTATAACTTAGAATATATGCATTTACAATCTCACAGATAGAGCTGTCTCTGGACCTTTAGAACATTCTCTCTTGGCATCTTCGTATTAACATAGAGCATAAAAACAACAAGCTTTATAGATATGGATTTCTTTGTTGTAATCAGGCTTTGTCATCATCTAATCATAAACCTAGATGGCCCTTCTATTTTAAAATGTATAAAAGTATTATACTTATATTCTCCATTATGAAAACAGGCATAAGCTAACCATAATTTAGGTTCAGCTCTTGAATCATTAAAACTATTCTTAAATTGTCATTAATACTTTTATTCATTTTCTAAGAGTGAGATTGCTCCTACCCAATCTCTATTTTTAACATATTCTTCTAATGTAGGCATTCTTTCTTGAACAACTCTAGTTGCAATTCCACCAGAAACTGGTGCTGCAGCTTTTGTTTATTTAGCTTTACTCATTGAGGAACCAGGACGAAGCATATTGTGATTTATGAAAAAAATTAAATTTCAAATTAATATTTTAAGTTCTTAATTATTAAGTAATTATTTTATTGATTATTTATTCATTGTATAGTCTAGCTATACAGAATAATAAAATACTGTAAATAATAATATTTAAGTATTTAATTGATTTTATAATTAACATAAATGAGCATATATATGATCATAAAATTTTCAAAAATTTTTGCTATAAAAAGTTTTTAACTCACTAAATTATGTAATAATATATATGATTTCTTTGAGTCTTATGTAAAATTTATAATTTAAAATGATTATGATAAAAATATTCTATCCAATTATTAACTTTTTTATACAAAGATTTTTTATCATATTGGCTTATTTGAATTCTATATTAACATAATTCTTGTTAAAGTTATTCTTTTTAATAATAAATTTAGCTTTAATTATTGAATTAAATTCATTATTTATTATTTTGATTTTTAAAAATATTCATTAATTATTAACTCTTTTTCAAAATTATACCTTGATTACATTTATTAGGTAATTTATATTAACAAGTCCAAATTCTATAGGTAATATTTAGATAATATTGTTAGAAGATAATATGCATAATACATTTAGTTTTTTTAAATTATATGATTAAATCTCATTAATTATTTTAAATGGGTCGTTCTTGATCTTCTAAGAAAAACGATAGCAAGCGATAATTTCTCTAATTATAATATAACTCAACTGCAATACAATAAGAAAAAGAATTTGAATAATTAGCTATTTTAAACTAATTTTTCAAAGAAAAGTATCAGATACAAAACTATCCAATGATGCAGAGAAGAGAAAACTCTTTTACTTCAATCATATAGAAAATTTATAAGTTGTCAATTAAATTATAGAGATCATATGACCTACAATAATTCTCATGTTGTACAATGAACTAATTATGAATACACATTGCAAATATTCATAAGAATTACAATATATACTGACTATTTGATTTCTTGTTGTACAACAATAATGGATAAAGAATCCATTACTTTTATTTGAAAAGCTGTTAATAAATTCGTCTTCAGTTATGGAGGCAAATATTTTTCATTTCTATTAAATATATAACATATGTTCTAAACAAACGAAAATTGATATTAACTACATTCTCTATTTTTCTATTTTTCTACTTTTCCAAGAATATACAATTAAATTATAGTTGACTTTGTTATATATTAGAATTCTTTAGAAATTTATTTCAGAACAATTATTTTTTCTTTGAGGTCATGATTTTACCCTCAAGAATTATGGAAAATTAATTGTAAATCAATGATATGTCAATATGATAAACCCATTATTAATTTTATTCCTCTATGAAAAGTTAATTTGTGTATTAAATACAAAAAAATCATCAAAATCAACTAAAAGTTGGAGTACAAGCTGTAGTTTGGGACATTTTATTTCTCCTTTATGCTCTTCTCTATATAATAGGATTTTTCATTAGATTATATTTAGTATCTTTCTTTTATAGATTTGGTTGAATGGTGGCTTCATTTTAACTTGATTACATTTATATCAGCTAAAGAGAGATTGATTATCTGGCCTTAGTTTATGAACAACCCATTTATTTTAATATTAAAGTCATTTTAGGATTTGAAATTTTTAAATAATAGAACTATGATGTCAGTAATTATCTTAATTAATATTAAATATATATAATAAAATCAAGTTATTAATTTTAATGATGAGCGATTAAGTTTAATAAAAATTCTTATTATAAAGAGACTCCATATAGTTTAATTATTTAAAATTATGTATATAAAAATATCAATAAATTGCACATTATTGTTGATCTAAAGCAGGATCTCTATTTGAATTCTTTGTTTATCTATGATCATTATCACCAACTACCATAGTTTCATCTTAGAATTTGATTCCATCTTACTCTACTATTTTTGGCTATTCTAAGCTTGATTATTATGGTTTGGTGATAGGAATTGGATAATTTGGAGCAGTATATAGATTAGTACTACTAGGTATTGGACTAAAAGGCTATTAAGGATAGTATGGGGAGTATCCTGAATTTTAAGGGATTGATGATAAAGGTATTGTTTGAAGATTGGATGGTAAGGTATTTATAGGATTATTACTAAATGGCTAAGGTACATAACTTTAATATTTTGGTTGAGTATAATTCATAGTTGTAATTGGAGTATCAATTGAACTACGATCAGGTATGAAAGGTTTATCATAAATAATTTAAGAGTTGGGAAAGGAATGTTCTGATGGTCTATTGGGAATAGGTCCAAAATCATATTTCTTTTCAATTTAATGATGAATAGGAGGATATGAGTCTATATTTTATTATGGTTAATAAGTTTAATAGGGTTAATAAGGTTATGGATCAATATCATATTTCTTAATTGATTAATGAAATGGAGGTATAGGATCAATAGGTAGGTCAATATTTGTATATTTATTAAAAGGGTCAGGAGGATGATCATAATGTGTTAAGCTAGGATGTTCTGATATTTATGGGAAATGATCTTTATTAATAATTAAGGGATCTTCAAAATGATTATTATGATTATTATAGGTTGAATAAATGTCATGATTTAAATTAAGGTCATTTTTTTTAATAGTTTATTGAATTCCTTGTAAAGTAGGTGTTAAAGGTGTATATTATTGAAGAGGTGAAGAGATATGCATTGTGACATCATTAATAATTTTTTCAGGTTCTACTGATGGTAATTATGGAGTAACACCATATTTGTTCCAATTATATTAATCTATTATGTCATCATACTTAGTTCGACTAATTTTATATTATAATAATAATTTACACAAAATAATCAGGATTTGAAATGCCTTTATATTATTATTATTATTGACCATATTAAGTCTTAACAAAATTCTATTGATTTGGAATATTATTTTAATAGTTATTATAATTATTATTCATCATATGATGAGGATCTACTTAAGTTGCAGGTTGAATTTAGAATTCTTTGTGATGATATTCTGGTACATAAGGTTATGGTTAAGCAGAAGCATAGACAATCATTGGATATAAGGGGCCAATTAATTCTCCTTCATTTGATAATTTAGATGGATGACCATATAAAGTAGGTTACGGTTAATTAAGAATTAATTGTGATGGTTATTATGCCATTTGATTAGATTAGTTTGGTTAATTACGTATTATTTGATTAGGAGATTATGCAAATGGTAAAGATGATTATGATGGTTATTATTATAATATAGAAAATGGATTCTATTGATTTTATTATAAGCTATGATTTAGTTAAGTATCATTTTCAAATAAATGAACATATTCTGGAGATAGAAATTGAATTTTCTCTTTCTCATATTTGACTTTACTTGTAATTGTAATTTTATCTTCAAAATTTAATTTTTTTATTTCATCCAACTTTAAAATATTATCTCCAATTTATTTTAATATTAAATTCACTTCTAAAAAATAGATTTATTCTAAAGACATTGGAAAATTAGTAACAAAATGTTTGATTGCCTATTAAATTTTTTCAGGTTTAATATTTGGATTAGTTTAACTTATATCAACAATCATAATCCAACTTTCTACTTTACCAGGCACAAACATATAATCTTCCATAATAATAAGTTTATTTGTTATTGCTTTGATAAATAAGTCATCAAGAGGTAAACTCAAAGATATGTGTAGCACAGGTCTTAGCATTTCATCTCTTCCAATAATTTAAACTAATTTAGAATATTATGGAATATCTTCCAGATTCATAGTTTCAGGATTGTTTAACCAATTTAAATGATCCACAAAATAGTTTACAGTGTCTTCTTTAACAAATTTATGAGCATACAAGAATCGCAATAATACAGAATCATTTTGAACTCTCAAATATTATAAGATGAATCATACTCTTTTAAATATTCAACTGGAATGGAATCGAGATATTCCTTAAATTCTTTTAATTGTTGATTCTCGAAAGTGTCAAATTAAACATTCTTAAAGATTCTTCGAATACTCCCTTTTTTTATATAATTGGCTTGATAATAGCATTAATATATACAATCTATAGATAAGTTAGCTATTTCATTAGGCGAGGCTAAAAGGTATTGATATCTATCTTAAAACATATATATATTATATTAAATATTATATATCAACTAACATATTTAATTTTAACAGTATTGGCCTCTCCATATATGATATAATTGTCAACTATACAAATGCCTTCAGGAACAAAGTCAACTTCTTCAGTCTTCGTAATATAATCAATTTGCTTATATTCTTGTATACGAATGATATAATTATCTCTATTTTTACATGATAAGAATAGATAATTGGGATTTTAAAATACCATAATACTCTTAATATAATTTGGAGCTATTCTGACTCTCAACATTTCATTATAATTAGATGTACTAATAATTCTAATATCTCCAGATCCAGTACCAGCAGCAAAAGCCTTTTCTGTAATGTTTTATAACTATACTTAAATTAAATTCATACACAATATATCCAATCTTCACATTAAATGGCATAAATTATTCTATCTGATTTAAGATCATAGATTTAAATAGTCTCATCAAATGATCCAGATACAAGTTGATTATTATTAATTAAAATAACATCTCTGACAGCCATTTTATGATTGTTTATAGTCTTTGCTTTTATATTTTCCAATACTCCATTAGAAGATGTATCCCAAATCTTAATACTATGATCACCAGAACAACTAACCAAATAATCAGGCTTAATTAATTATTTAACCATCAAAATGGGATCAGTATGTCCTTACAATTAACCCTATAAAGATATAGATTTATCAAATGTTACAATTCCAATATTCTATTCTTCAAAATTACCAATACTATTTAAATAGACAATTAAGTTTACCATACAGCTATTGCTAATTTCCCTTTATATATGAAACCACATATGCTAGTACATTTTCCTTCAAATTAATATTCTCCAATCTTATTTTCACCAATTCCTTAATAAATGACAATCAATCCATCAACAGTTGATACTATTAGATGATTTTAAAAAAAGATTATATCACTTACAAAATTATCTTAATCTTCTCCAAAATCTTTGAGTACTCTAATTATTGCACAACCATCTAATTTATTTTCAAATGATTAATCTGTCTAAAAATTCAAATTATTTGATGGTTATCTTTGTAATGATTAATTCATTCCCATAGGATTTATGGTAGCACCATAATTAGCTACAATATTAGTAGTTTAAATAAGAGAAGATTCCAAATTTTAACTTGGTTTCTTTTCCATTGTTGCAACTATAAATATATATATATATATGATATACTATCTTCAATTTATGATATGTTTTATAAAAATCTTTTTGAAACATCTTCTAATTATATAACTAATTTATTTAAGTATTAAACTGCATTATTTGTTGCATCAAAACTAATCAATTAATTTTTAATTTCAGGATGTCTAATCAAATATGCAATTATTGCTACTCCTCTTTAATCTAAACTCACCATACTTCGATTAGCAAATACCACTAATAAAATAATAATATGTACTAGTTTTAATTTATTTACATAAGCTGGTAATTCTAATTTAATCTAAGAATCAATCCCATCTAATTAAGATTCACACATCATTCTTTTAGAATTTTATCCCAATAATTCTATTTCTTTAATAGCCTATCTCATAAATTCTTCAAATATTGATTTCACTTTAGATTTAGCATCCTATATCTCTTATTTCTATAAATATATAATTAATATAATAACTTTCTTTTAATATTTCATAGCTGCTTCAATTATTGCAGCTTAATCTTAACTAAATGATTTTAATTTAATTCTTTATCCAGCATTACATTTATGTGTAATTAAACATTATCCACATAATCTATTATCTTTATTTGGACATCTATCACAACAAATTACTTAAATTTTTTGATTATGATCATAGCAATTCAATTAAATTAATGAACCACTAGTTCTATTTGTATCTATAGTTGTCAAATATGCTGAAAATTCATATGAATAAGTTCTAGGATCAATATTTAAAATGGAACCATTAAATTATTTAGAAACATTATATGGTAAAGAGATAAGTTCTTTAAATAATTAATCTTATAATCTTTTTATTTTCTATTCAACTTAATTCTAATAAATTGAAATTTTTCTTGATGCTGAATCTAAATTACTAATTATCTATTTAATTAATTATGGATTATTGTAAGTATTGAGTAATATTTAACATCCTTATTTTTAGATATAACCTAAATCATTTTTTTCAAATGCCTCCACTATTTAACTTGCAGCTTCTCCAAATACTTCTGCATCAGGTATTCCTTAAAGAAGATATTGATTCAAATAAACATCATAATATCCTTGATATGATTTAAAGCTCTCAAAGAAATTATTTTTAAAATTTGCTAATGTTTAAGTTAATCCACCAGTTGCATTAGGTGAATTTTAATCTCTATCAAATTTCTCTACTATTTCCTATATTCCATAACTATCATATTTTATTGCTTTTAAAATATAAAATCACAATTTACCATCATCAATTGTAATACGATCATTACACATATGATCAACCAAACATTCCTCACATAATCTTCTATCTCCTTCATCTCTTGTACATGCCTAACCTAGACATATTGCAATATGTGGTTTATTATGATTACATGATACATCTATAGTGTTAGCTGATTTGCAATTACCCATTTATATTAATTAATCAAATTACTATATTTTTCAAACACAAAAATACATTTATTACATTTTATGTTTGTTATAAATTCAAATATACACTCATTAGAAATTACCATTATTATATTATTCATTTAATCATTATTCAATTAAGAAGTGATATAATTTTATTTCATTTTTATTATTAATTGATTTAAATTATATAATATCATGTACCTAAAAAAGAGTCATTGACAAATTGATTATTATATCATTATATTATTATATCTTAATTGTTATCTACTATAAACGTATTTAAATTAAAGAATGGCTCTCTTTCTATTAATAAATTTATGCTCTAAATTTAAATAGGGGATATAATCGACAATCAATATGAAATAATTAAAAAACTATCGCAAGGGTCATTCGGAATAGTTTTTTATGGTAAAAGCATAAAAACAAAAAAGAGTGTAGCAATTAAAGTAGAGAAGTAAGAAATGGCAGGCTTCGGTAGTTTATATCGTGAAGTAACACATCCTATAACATAAAGGTCGATATGTTAAGTAAATTGAAAGGAGTTCCTTAAATTCCTGAATTGTTGTGGTATGGAGAGTTTAAGAAATGTAATATCATGATTACTAAAATGTTGGGTCACGATCTTATTTATCATCAGAAATAATATAAACAATTTTCATCATAATGTATTAATAGTATAGCTTATTAATTGTTATGGATATTGGAATAGATACACAAATAGTATAACTATTTTATTTATTTTTAGGAATATAATTCATAGAGATATCAAACCAGAAAATATTTTAAGCAAAAATGAATCAGATAAGATTTATTTAATCGATTTTGGAATTTCAAAAAACACAGATTCTAATTTCATACATAAAAAGAAATTATTACCATTTATTGGTACCAGTAGATATGCCAGTATATCAGCTCATCAAGGTATTGAACAAACACCAAAAGATGATCTAGAATCACTTGGGTATGTTCTAATATACTTAACTACTCAACATTTACCATGGATGAACATTGAAAAAGCAGATGTACAAAGATTAGATAAAATTGGCAAGTTAAAAGAAAATGTTTTATTGGAAGACTTATGTTTCGGTTGTCCTAATTCAATGCTTAAGTACTATCTTTTATAAATTAAGATATATGAGGTATGTTAAAGAATTGAAGCCTAATTCTAAACCTAAATATGGAATTTTGAGAGGGTTATTCTTGTCTAAGCTACAAAATACAATTGAATTAGGATTAGATTGGACTAATTAAGTAATTAAAATAGAAAAAAAGAGACATCATAAAAAACAAAGGAACTCTTGTGATCTTAATTTCAAAAGTTGTGTCACAATTAGAAAGTAAATGATTATTATGAACTTAGACCATTTTTGGGTGAAACTTAAATAAATTTAAATGTAAAAACTATTGCAGTTTAAGAGGAATAATTGATATCATCTGATAATGGAACCAATAGCTAAATATAATTTAGTATTATAGAAACATTAGGAAGTAAAAATAGTGTTAAGGTTGGATTTTCAGCATCTGATAATTTGGATTGTTTATGCATTCAATAAAATAATAATATGGCAAGAATATCTACATTTGAAGGTATAGATGAAGTAAACTCTCTTAAATCTTAAAGTTTTGAATAATAATTGATGGAAAGTGAACATTAAGATTTAGAAATTAAGTGTAATGTACTTCATTTCAATTCAGTATATTTTAATTTCAAGAATCCTATTCAATAGCATATAATTAAATAAAATTATTAAGTCAAAGGAATTAAATCCATTAATTGATTAATACCTATTTTATATTTTCCTTTGTTTATATATATTTTATGATTCAAATTTTGTCTGATGATAACCATTTTTCACTGAATAGTTATTTATTAATTATTAATAAATAATAGATATGGGATGTGTAAATAGCAATTCTCATTAAAAAAGAAAGAAAGATTTTGATATCACAAATATTCCTATTATGTTAAATAATCAAAAATCATCAAACATTGAAAAAATTCAGGATAATTGGTTAGAATTGAAAAATAACTCTATACTGGCTAGACGACATTAACAAAGTAAATTATCCTTAAAGGTTACTACTAATTCAAAATCTCCCTTGTCTTGTGTAAGTCGCAATTGAAATCTATCTTAAATTGATTACATCATATTTGCGTGTTTTATAAACAACATAAAATTAGAAATTATCAATATTTTTATGTAAAACAATATCATGAAATACTATCTAGAGTATTTTTAGAGATGGTTATAAATAATTTTATTTAGCTTTCTATAAAACCTTATAGGATATTAAATATATATAAATATGTATATTAATTTATTTTGTAATTTTTTCAATTAAATTATGAATTAGAATGCTAAATTTATATTGTTTATTATATAATCAATAGATAATTATTAGTTGAAAATTAAAAATTTCAAAAATTACAATCAAAATATTTAAGATATACTGCAATAGCTATTTAGTTATAAATAGCATGTTAAAAAAACAAACCTTTAAATTTAGATATATGAGGAAAGTGATTTCAAAGTTGAGAATAGAAAAATAATGAAAGAAGTGGATATATATATTAAAGGAAATATCAAACATTTTATTTAGGTGTTCTGTATTTATCAAAAATGTATAAAACTTAAAGAATTTAGAATAGAGTAGAGGTAAGAAGACAATATAATAAATTATGATATAAATTATTTATATTTTTTTGATTAATTAAAAGATTTAAAATAAATGTTCAATCGAATTACTAGGTTGGCTGGATTATAACATAAAGTTGTAAAATGCTTTGATCTACATGAATATCAAAGTAAGGATTTGATGAGAAGATTCAATGTTCTAGTGTAGAAAGGAGAAATCGCCTTAAATGCTGAGGAAGCAGCCAAAGTTGCTAAAAAACTTGATCCTAGTGGTGGATTGATTCTTAAGTCTTAAGTTCATGCAGGAGGAAGAGGCAAAGGTATATTCAAACATATATTTAAAGGAACTTTATCTAGTGGATTGAAAGGTGGAGTTAAGATTTGCAAAACTCCAGAAGAAGTAGCTAATTATACTAAATAAATGATTGGATATAAATTAGTAACTCATTAGACACCAAAAGAAGTAAATATAATTATTTATTTAATTAGGGTTTATAAGTTAATGCAGTACTTGTTCATGAAGGTGTGGATATTGTACGTCAATTATATTTAGCCTTTATTTTAGATAGAAATTCATAGAAACCAGCTATTGTTGCTTCAATCAATGGTGGAATGGAAATTGAAGAAGTTGCTAAAACAGATCCAAATAGTATTATTGTATTACCAATTGATGTAAATACTGGATTAACAGATGATATTGCTAATAAAGTTGTTGACAATCTATAATTATAAACAGTTAGATAATAAGCAATTGAATAATTAAAGAATTTATATAAGATGTTCATTACACTTGATGCTACATAAGTTGAAATTAATCCATGGGCAACAGATCCAAAGAATAAATTATTTTGTATTGATGCTAAGATTAATGTTGATGATAATGCTAAATTTAGATAAAAGGAATTAGTTGAATTAAGAAAAACATCTGTTGCATCTGAATAAGTAGATCCACATGAAGAATTAGCATTAGCTGCTGGATTGAATTATGTTGCATTAGATGGAAATATTGGTTGTATGGTTAATGGAGCAGGATTAGCTATGGCTACAATGGATATAATTAAATTATATGGAGGAGATCCTGCAAATTTTTTAGATGTTGGAGGTGGTGCAAATGTTGAATAAGTTAAAACTGCATTCGAAATCTTAAATTCTCATCCTAAAGTTGAAACTATCCTTATTAATATCTTTGGTGGTATCATGAAATGCAATATAATTGCTGAAGGTATCATTAAAGCAGCTTAATTGGTTGATCTTAAAACACCATTGGTTGTTAGATTAACTGGAACAAATTCTCAATAAGGTAATTATTATTATTTATATTTTTAGGAGCTAAAATGTTGGATGAATTTGCTAAATCATAAACTAAAGTATAAATTACAACAGCCACAGATTTGGATGATGCTGCTTAAAAATCTGTAAAAATTGCAAAAGTATCTAGAAAGCAATGATATATTCATCAATTATTATTATAATTCTTTATATAATTAAATTATTCTATTGTTATCAATAAATATTCAAAATAGATAAATTACATTATATTTTTATAATGATTTCACAATAGAATCTAAAAAAAACTCAAAATTCTTTATCCTATNGAACTTTATCTAGTGGATTGAAAGGTGGAGTTAAGATTTGCAAAACTCCAGAAGAAGTAGCTAATTATACTAAATAAATGATTGGATATAAATTAGTAACTCATTAGACACCAAAAGAAGTAAATATAATTATTTATTTAATTAGGGTTTATAAGTTAATGCAGTACTTGTTCATGAAGGTGTGGATATTGTACGTCAATTATATTTAGCCTTTATTTTAGATAGAAATTCATAGAAACCAGCTATTGTTGCTTCAATCAATGGTGGAATGGAAATTGAAGAAGTTGCTAAAACAGATCCAAATAGTATTATTGTATTACCAATTGATGTAAATACTGGATTAACAGATGATATTGCTAATAAAGTTGTTGACAATCTATAATTATAAACAGTTAGATAATAAGCAATTGAATAATTAAAGAATTTATATAAGATGTTCATTACACTTGATGCTACATAAGTTGAAATTAATCCATGGGCAACAGATCCAAAGAATAAATTATTTTGTATTGATGCTAAGATTAATGTTGATGATAATGCTAAATTTAGATAAAAGGAATTAGTTGAATTAAGAAAAACATCTGTTGCATCTGAATAAGTAGATCCACATGAAGAATTAGCATTAGCTGCTGGATTGAATTATGTTGCATTAGATGGAAATATTGGTTGTATGGTTAATGGAGCAGGATTAGCTATGGCTACAATGGATATAATTAAATTATATGGAGGAGATCCTGCAAATTTTTTAGATGTTGGAGGTGGTGCAAAT